ACAATCTGTTGCTATGGTTATTCCTTCATATCTTATTATAAACACTTTTCCCAGTGTTAGTGTTACAATCTGTTGCTATGGTTATTCCTTCATATCTTATTATAAACACTTTTCCCAGTGTTAGTGTTACAATCTGTTGCTATGGTTATTTCCTTCATATCTTATTATAAACACTTTTCCCAGTGTTAGTGTTACAATCTGTTGCTATGGTTATTTCCTTCATATCTTATTATAAACACTTTTCCCAGTGTTAGTGTTACAATCTATTGCAATGGTTATTTGTCGTTGAATTTCAACACAGAGGTTGAATATCCGGATTCGAGTAGGTAAAACATCACTGAACATAGTACAGTCACTGTACAGTCTCGAGTTTTCTGTTAAACAGCCCCAGAAGCTTCATTGCAGGTAGAACGAAGAAAAAACCTTGAATGAGGCTTTTTTTTTTTTCTATTCGAAATCCCATCACCCTTGTGTCTGCAGCTCGAAGTGAGATGGAGAGAGGATTGAAGAAGTCTCTAGTTCGTATACTGAATGTATCCTGAGTGTAAAACTTTCCGGTACACCTTCAGTATACGTAGCTAGCGACTTGCATTTACGTCAGGAAGAACTAGGAGCTGTCTGTTGGCGTCTGACAGAAGGAAAAAAAAAACTTTTCAATCGCACAAGTATAAAAAGTTATACAATAATTAGTTACACATACAAACGTTTCTTAACATACCTGTTTTGGATCTTTCCGCCCCCTCTACTAGAAGTGCACCTTTCCTTAGCCTCGTCCCGTTCATCGTCGAGGAAGAAAATTATTACTTGAGCTTGGTGATAGAAGAGAACACCCGCGGGGTAGATGCCCTACTCGCTGACTGAGAGGTCGTCTATAAAGTCTTGCTATTTAGCAGAGTCGTGGTACTGTTTAACGACATTTGAAGCTCAAATATTCACAGGCAGCATCGCGCGCTGCTTCGAAGAAATAACAACAAACATGGCGCTCGCTGAGCGGAGACTTCCCGCCAGCGTCGAACCGACACGAGGAGGCTTGCCAGCTGTCACCCGAGGTGGAGAAGGACCAATAGACGTCACCAGAAAAAGAAGTACTCTTAATTGCTACCAGATGGCACCATCGTAGACGCTACTTAACGAACTGAATTTCTAAAAATGAATATATTTCTTCACACACAAAAAATTGATAATACAGTTTTACTTTTGAATGTCTTAATGATGATAAACAGTTATTCTCGTGTGGACGAAATATAAAATAGCATGTATGAGTCACAACTTCGTAACAGCTGCTTTACGGCAATTAACCATAGCTAATTCGTTACATTTGACGGTATTTTAGTGAATATATTACTAGAATTTCGTCAAGATAGCTGTTTGTAAATCTTGTTTTTATTTTTTTGGAAGATGTCTACTTCTTTGCAGAGAGAAGTTTTTATTTACGTCTCAGCCAAGCGTGAAGGCGGATCTTCCAGCATCTGGAAACGCGGTGAATTAGTAATTGGCTCTACGCGAGCTGCGGCCCAATAAATCTGTTCCGCCGTCACCTCACTGACCCAGCGTATCAGATATGTACCACTGATAAGAGAAAGAAAGCGCTCTTAAGAACCAATCAGAAGAGAGGAGCTCAGTTTCGGGTAATTACAGCAGCCGTAAACAGGGAATAGCAGTTACGAAATGAATTCCTTATTTCATATCGAATACGAGAAATTGATAGCGGTACAAGCGCTATCATTAAGTCTTCTGATCTTTTATAAATGTTTCAAAGCAATCAGATAACTACATTTATATAAATACAACTGAGATTGTCTATCTGATATAGTTATGAATAGTTACAACCAAAAATCCTACGCAGAACATATTGCTAACAAAAGCAACTTCAAATCTCAGTAAAATATGACTACTTTGTCAAAATTATGTGTTAACACGTCATAAAAAAACATCTTGCTATCAGCATGTAAACAAAAATAAGATGTATTCTTATCCTCATTAAATAAAACGTATTCTTATCCTCATTAAATAAAACATATTCTTATCCTCATTAAATAAAACGTATTCTTATCCTCATTAAATAAAACGTATTCATATCCTTATTAAATAAGATGTATTCATATCCTCATTAAATAAAACGTATTCTTATCCTCATTAAATAAAACGTATTCATATCCTTATTAAATAAGATGTATTCTTATCCTCATTAAATAAAACGTATTCATATCCTTATTAAATAAAACGTATTCATATCCTTATTAAATAAGGTTTATTCATATCCTTATTAAATAAGATGTATCCTTATTAGAAAAACAAAAAGCCCTCTTACAAGTAAAAAACATACAACCATGCTAAAATCACATTACGAAAATAAGAACACAAACAAAAACACTCGTGCTAGTACTACAAAACACACTTAAATCAACATCATGTACATCAATACATTGTTTGTATATTAAAGTATATCATAAAGTCCCATCAACATTAT